AGGGAAGGCAACCCTTAGGGAATCTCAGTCTGGTAGTACAGCGGAAGCTAAGTTCCTATTCCAGGGAGCTTCTGGCTGGATGGGAAAGCATGGCTTCTTTACAGGGACCAATAAGAAAACAATCCCAGCCCAGCTTGAGCCAGGTAAAAGTGAGCAGGTGGACCCTCAAGGGGACTGGAGCCATCCTGGAAGCCATTGGAGGAACTGGGGCTGATATGAGTCTTAAGGGAGATAGGAAGTAGCTTGACCTCTTTGAATTGGGCCCAGGACAGTGGTGTGACTACCAGGTGGGAGGGCAAATTCTCGGGAGCTCTCCAAGGTGATGATGAGCTCGCCCGAGGAGAGGTGAAGGGGGATGAGCAACTTGATTTGCTGTCCGTGGTGCTGAAAGTTCTGGGCCTGTGCCCTAACCTCATTCCTTCGGTGAATACCGCCTTTTGCCCTCCCACCTCTCTCCTATCATCTTCTGCTCATTTCCTTTCCAGATATCCCATAACCTAACCATATGGCGGCCCCCACCACCACCACAGCATCACCCACTCCCTCACGCCGACCCGCCTCTTACACCCTTTCTCCCATAACTACACCCAGAAATGGTCCTTCACTGTCTCTTTGCCCATGGTCCATGACTTGCCAGTGAGATGATCAGAAATAGAGGTGTCAGTGTAGGGAGCCTGTGAAAGTAATGTAGGGATGTTTGGAGTTGTCACAGTGGCCTGGGGTTTATTGGCATTTCATAAGTTGGGAGTCAAATGACTCTCCTGAGATGCCAGTAGCTCCATTGGGAACCAACTTACATTATTTTTTTCCTTAGAGGGGAAACTGAGGCCAAGAAGGAAGTTACTTACCCATGGTTACCTAGCCAGCCACAGACAAAATCTAGATTTTAGCCTCCCATCTCCCATCCAGGGTTCTGGACCACTCCAGGTTACTGCTTGAAGCAGAAACTATTGGTGTCTGAATGGAGAACAGACATCCTTCCTGGGCTCACCACAGGCAGGGCCACTCTGGGGATAGGGACTAGGCTTCCTAAACCACAGAGCCTTGCAAAAGAAGGCCCTGCCTGCATCAAGCAAACCCTAATGCCCCCAGCAGGCCACAGTGCACACTATTGGCATTGATCCTCTGCAGGGGTGCCTGTGTTGCTGTGGTAACAGGCACCTACCTCACTGCATCCAGCCCCACAATTCTGGCCTGGCCACCTGCCCTCACTTTCCACGCCGGTCCTCCTGTTGTTCCAGGGACAGGTTGGGGGGGCCTGGCTCACTTCTGTCCAAAGCTGTGCCTGAGGCCTTGGCACCCTTAGCAGCAGTGCTCCCTCAAAGGACAGACTCTTCTGCCTTCAAGTTCTCCACTGTCTCATTCACAGATAGGGCTGAGGCCCCAGAGAGACACCCTTCTCATCCCCACACCCCACATCTCACGCCCTGCCTAGAGCTTGGCAGATCTAAATGAGTTTGATTTAGCCCCTCTGGACTCACTGGCTGGCTCCTGGGGAGGGACACCATGATCCAGCGTGGCCTCTGCCTGCTTCTCTGTCCCAAGGGAGCTCAAGTCTAGTAGCAAAGGGTTAGGTCCAATGAGAGAAAGTCCATAGTGAATTATGGCAAATGCTCTAGAATACATTTTCGTATTTCAGACTATGGATTGTGGGATAATAGTGGACTGTGAAATCAATTTAGTAGGTCATGACCAGCATTTGTATATGAAGTGAATAGAATACATTAGAACAGAACAGAGAGGAAAACATTATAGCTGTTGTCGAAATAAATTTTGCTTTATAAAACTGGATCCAAATGTGGTGGGTGTGCTAAAGTGTGTTACAAAAATATGTGTTACTGTAGTTCAAGGTCAGTGAAGTGTGAAGGCCTGTGCTCTAAAAGATGGGGATATATAGAAGAAGGAAGTACTTAAAGGGATTGCTTCAGACCTGGGGTACTGGGCAAGGGCCCATAGAGAAGGTGATGTTTGGTCTGAGGTATAAAAGAGAGGTAGGAGTTTGTCTGTAAGCCGTGAGTGAGTGTGAGGAAGATACTTCCAGGGATGGATCAGTGCACAGCCAGGTATGTGCTGGGCCTCTTAGTGCAAATTTCAGCTGCCATGTGAAGTGGCAGCCATGGGGGCTGACGAAGCTGGAGTATATTCTCAAGAACAGTAAAGAAGCTTTGATGATACGTAAGCATGGGTCAGAAGAAGAAGGGAGGCAAGAAAGGAGGATGTTGTGCTGATCCACGCAAGAGGACTGCAGGATGGGCAGAGGGAGTAGATTCCAGAAAAGGCAAAGGAGGAGACAGGATGCGCAGAACTTGGGACCTCTGGTTTGAGGACACAAAAGGTCCCCGTGGCAGCATCTCCATCCACCGCTGTTGTCCACAAGTCTATCCTGTGGACAGATCTGCCATGAGACATGAGCATTCTGAGCTCTGACCTCAGGGAGACCCCGTTTTATCAGAGATAGCAGACTCACCCACATGGACCACTCAGGGCTGGCCATAGGCAAGGGCTGGAATGCAGGGCTCCAGCCATCAGGACTGGGGGTGCTCAAGAATGAACAAGAAAACAGTGGATTGGGAGCAATCAGAGAGGTCTTCCCAGAGGGAGTAGCCTAGCTCTGAACTTGAGGACAACTGGATAACATCTATAAATACTTTCCAGGAGGTAATGTTTTGTGCCCTTTGAGCTATAACCAGGACCAAGGTCTATTTTACATCACACAGACCCATTCAGAGGGACTTTAAAGCCCCACCAGAAAGAGACTGTGCCTTTTGCAAAAGGACCTGCCCTCCAAAGACATCTTTACTACTTTATTCAGTGATGTCAGTGGCCTCACATGTTGAGCTAGCCCCTCCCTCTCAAGAGCTTGAATGTCACTGAGGAAGACAGTCCCAGGCTTTAGATGCTCAAAGCCCACCTGGGAAGTCAGGTGCCAGGACAGGGACAAGGGACAGGTCTGTTTTTGAGGGTCAGAATTAGTGTGGGACTGGGCAAGTCCCCAGTGGACTTGCTGGACCCAGCCAGCTGTGCCTCAGGCTGCCAGGCCCTGGAGGCAGGACTGGGCCAGTACCAACCCTGAACTTGAAAAAAATCTATGGCTCAGAGCACAAATTAAAGAATAGTTAAGCTAATAGAATCTCCCCCATTGTTTTGCTCTTTGGCAAGTGTTCCTCAATGATTCCACTGCTTTTAACTCATCGTTGTCGGCTCAACGGAAGTGGATTTTTAAGTAATTTAATTTAGAACTCACTGCTTCCAAGAACAATCTAAGGTCCCCCCCTCCAGCTCTGTGACTCTGTGCTCTGTGAGTGATTTGTTTTAATTAGCTTTATATTGTGTATCTAACATAAGCCAAGAAGAAACTCCACAGCCACTGCCCGTTAGCCAGAGGGCAGAACCTTGGCCCGACACTCCTCACCAATGGATGCCTCTGAATGTGTGATCCAGGAGGGGAAGTCATGCTGATGGGTCGCAGAGCAGAGCCACCCACTTCACCATGGGAGAGGCCTCCCGGTGGAGGTTGAGGGTGGGCCATCTGCAGGGGTGGCTTCAGAGCGCGCTTGCCTCTTCAGGATGGAGAGAGCCGAGCACGCCCATTTTTCAGCCTTCCCATAATCCCCCTTTGATAAAACCTGCACTTTTGTACTCCAGCCATTGCTGCTCCAAAATGCCTTCTCACATGTCACATTCCAGCTTGACACAGATGCTGGTTCTCAAGCACCTGAATACATCATGTGATCTCCCAGGCAGTGGGAGCTCCGAGGCAGACACATGTCCCTGTGTCCCCAAGTTCCTCTCATTGCCCTTTGCCACAACTTGGTAGCCTAAAGGTCAGGAACATAGGACCTGGAGCCGGACCTGCTGGACTTGAATCTTCTTGTCCTTTCATCCTTGGCAAATGGCTTAACCTTTTTTTTTTTTTTTTTTTTTTTTTTTTT